GGGGAAGGATACTGCAAAATCCCCATTCCCTCTGTTACTCCTGGGGTAAGCATACTGCAAAATCTCCATTTCCACCCCACTAACCTGTTCTCCAGCTCCATTCTCCTGTGCAGGGCAACAAAAGAAGACCCGGCTGATCAGCTGGGACTTGGGAGGCATAGAATAGATGGGCGGGGCCAGCCAGCATTTTTATATGCTTTCAAACTAGGTTGGCTGAAACTGGGACAAGTAACGGGAGCTCACTCAGTTTCGCAGCGTTAGGGAATTCGAACTGATCAACAGCTCAGCGTCTTAGCCACTGAGCCCCTGCGTCCCTTTGTGTCTTGTAGTCACCCCTAAATGTGCTGGTCAAGGAGATCAATGTATGTAGCTATAAAATAATAATAATTGCAACCGTCATTATGGACACTGGGAAAGCCTGGAAGAACAGCTAAATAATAAACTATCTATATATAAATGGCTCTGGTGTGTGCATGTGTGTGTGTGTTTGTTCCAGCATAACTCTGGAACGCCTGGAGCAATTTCAACCAAACTTGGTACACACTAACTTTACACTCTGGAAACAAATGCTGTGGGGGTAACACCACTCTGGGTGTGTGTTCCGTTAAGATACAGCCTGTTGTGCCGTAAAACGGCTTCTACTGGACCGCCTTAAAATGACTTCCACTGCACAGCGCAGTGGAGTTGCCATGGTAACGGCTTCACAGTATTCCACAAGGGGGCTCCCTCTGGTTACATTAGAAATTACGCTCCTGGGGGTCACGGGGAAAACATTCTTAACTAATTTAATTGTTGCCAAAATCAGGGCGCAGGGAGGAGTTGCTGTTGCCACCGCCTCTTCAGAAAATGCTACGGCGTTCATGGAAGGAGAGGAGAAAGCCCATTCTGCACTTAGGTTGCCACTTGACGTCGCCATTCGTGTCTAATAGAGGACCGGGATAAATAAACACCCGGGCAACACCGGGTTAGCAGCTAGTAAATAATAAAAACCAGTTTGGCTGGGGGTGCAATTGGGGAGGCCTGTTCCTCACCACAAGCAACCTTTGATCCAAGCAAAAAGAGAGGAAACAGTTCTCTCCACCTTCCTGACCATGGAATGCAGAATCCACAAATGCCACCCATTTCCTAAAAGTCTACTGGAACACCAGTTACTCTACAACAGGGGTCTCCAAACGTGGTAATTGCTGTGGCCTGCCAGTGGAGCTGGCAGCAGAGTCTGACAGTGAGGAGGTTGGGGAGGAAGATGGGCCAGTCCTGGAGTCTGGGGAAGGCTCTGATGAGGGCTCTGTGTCAGAGGCAGAGAGGGGGCCAGAGCCGTATGCCAGCTATCAGCTGCTTTCAGGGTCAAATATCGGTGAGGCAGAAGAACAGCTGGAGCCTGTTCCCAGTGTGCGCATGCGCAGAGCTGCCAGAAGAAAAGAACAGTTCAGAAATCAGGGTCGACTTGGGAGTAAAGCCACTGGTGGACAGTGAATGGCCCCTCCCATAGGGAATAAAAGAGGAGCAAAAGGGGAGGGGGCTTTTGCAGGAAACAATTCCTTCATTCAGTCGTTAGATTCATTTCAGGAGTGTGAAGATCTGTCTGTGAATCTCAGAGACTCTGTGCCCAGTCTTCCTAAGAGCCGAGGTGGTGCAGTGGTTAAATGCAGTATTGCAGGCCACTTCAGCTGACTGCTATCTGCAGTTCAAATCTCACCGGCTCAAGGTTGACTCAGCTTTCCATCCTTCCTAGGTGGGTAAAATGAGGACCCAGACTGT